ACTCAATGCCAGCAAGCTCTCGCACGAGCCTCGCATCATTCCTCTCTGTGCATCCTGGTTCCTTCCCAATGACGACCGCAATGGCTACGAAACTTTTCTTGCGCAGCACATTCCCCATTCTCAATTCTTCGATCTAGACGCTGTCAAGGATGTGCATTCGCCCTACCCCCACATGCTCCCTTCCCCTTCCGAGTTCGCTGATGCAGTGAGACATCTGGGTATCCGCCGCGAGGACAGTGTAGTTGTCTACGATAGCAAGGAGCTAGGCATATTTTCTGCGCCCCGCGTCGGCTGGACATTCCAAGTTTTTGGTCATCCAAGAGTCCATGTCCTCAACAACTTCCGCAAGTGGGTCGAGGAGGGATACCCCACGGAAAGCGGGGAGCCCAAGGCGCCCGAGATCACCGAGTACGAGGTACCGCAGTTGGATGAGAAGAAAGTCATTGCTTTCGAACAAGTCAAAGAAATCGCAAAAGAGTTGGGCAAAGAGGGAGCCGATGAGGTGCAGATCTTGGATGCGAGGAGCCTGGGAAGATGGAAGGGCGTTGACCCAGAGCCCAGAGAAGGTACTTGGAAAACTGTCGGTACAAACAGCAGCATACTAACAGCCCTAGGTTTATCATCTGGTCACATTCCTTTCTCTATCTCTGTACCGGTCGCCGACCTCCTCGACCCAAATGACAAGACCCTCCTCCCCGCTTCCAAGCTCAAGGCTGTCTTCGAATCCAAGGGCATAAAGCCCGACGTGCCCATCATCAGCAGCTGTGGTACAGGCGTTACCGCAGCAATTATCGATGCTGCCCTGACCGAAGCTGGATACCCGACACAACAGAGGCGTCTATACGATGGTAGCTGGACGGAATGGGCTCAGCGCGTTAAGCCTACTGAGGGTCTCATCCACAAGACATTATAGATAACCATGAGATCTGCGAGAGGTTGATATGAGATGCGACCTACTCTTTTGCAGAGAGTTGATACCCTTTCTTGATTTCTGTGTATAAATAGTTTAGCTAGGCAATGTATATGGGTCAGAAATCCAAAAGCACTCGTGAGCATGCTTGTTTAAACAGAACATCAGCAGGCGTTCCTTTACGTGACTCAAGTCATACATCTGTACATGCCAAGATACAAACCAGAATGCATATGAGACCCCAGACGAATTCCACCAGCGAACGTTGCCGTGACCGAATCTACCACAAACTAGTATACAAAGAAAAAGCATGTATAGTAGTAGTTTCAAAATAACAAGGGAAATTAACGAAAGTATCCAACTTTTCAAGCCTGCTTCACCGAAACCCCACCTATCCCCATGACTACTCCGAATGCTATGCCTGTGAAGACGTTACCTGAGACGACGGCAAACACAGCCTCGCACCAGAGCGACCATCGAGATACGTCTCAAGAAATTCCTTGACCTGCTTGTTCGTGCCCCCAAGGTCTTTCAGTGGAAGCGCCACGACTGATAGACCCTTGAGTGAACGGGCTCGACTAACTGTTTTGGTCATGTTAGCCATTGTCTTTTACTACCCACGTTTACCCGTTTGTGTTACATATGTATTTTAGGAAGAGGGAAAGAAACATAAAGAAAGGATGAGTGCCAACTTACGAGCAACATAAATCTGACTCGGCTCAAACGCATCGCGCAGATTGACTATAACACGGTCAAGTGTCATGCCCTATTCCCAAGCACATATCAGTAAACAAAAAAAGACACAATTGAATTGGATTGGACACGAGAGAAAAGGACGCACCTGCGACTTATGCACCGTAATTGCGTAACCAGCTATGAGCGGTATTTGTGTTCGAGAAAGCAAGCTAGGATCTGGCTCCTGCTGCTTCTTCTCGCCCGCCGCCTCTTCATTCCCCAACTCGCTATACGCGCAGTCTGCGTAAATCGTTTCCTCAAGACCATTGTCGAATAGCACAACGGGCCAGGGCTGTTGTCCATTGTTGTCGGCGAAAGCTCGAATTTGATATTGAGCGTAAATGGCATGAGGGCCTCGCAGGGTGCCTTCCTTGTCTTCTTGATCCTTTGCTTTGCGGGGGAGTCGGTTAGGGTCAAAAGGTTCGAAGGCGATGATTGTGCCTTGGGCACCGTTTACGAGACCGCTTTGGGGTCTGAGGTTGGATTGGAGGACTACGCGCATGCCTTCTTTCAGCTCAGTGTATGCGTCATAGCGATGGTCTTTCTGTGATATGATTAGCGATATTATGAAGCAGAGAAGGCGTGGCGTACTAATTGATATAGGGTTCTGTGGTCACCGAGTCCTGATTTAGTGTATTTTTCTAGTGATTGATCGTCTCGGTGATGTTGCTTCCAGTTGAAATTATCCAAGCAGTGGTACTTGCGGGGTCCGGATGGAAGTCGAGCAACGTTCTCGCTGTTGATACGATCTACGTCTCGGCGTAACGAGAAGATCTTGATTGCGTTTTCCGTCTCCGATGTGTGATTGAGGAGTATCTTGGCATGGTTGGGGACAATGATGCCATCTGTCATACGTCAGCATCTATACGTGAATTCAGGACCACATGCAAAGAAAAGTCGTTGCAAAACACGAATAGTGGCGTAAAGACGGTACGATCTTACCTCTGCGAATCTTTTGAAGAATGGAAATAAACTTTCTATCGTTTTGTCTATGGATCTCGGTCAAGTTTACATGCTCAAAGTTGCAATCCTAATATTGTTAGAGTGGTTCGATAAAGCTTATAGTGGGAGACACCATCATACCTGCCATGCTTGACTTCGAAAAGCCCACTTGTCCGTATCTGGCCACATGTCGTAACGGCAATTCTTGTTCTCGCAATGGTGTATTAGTTCGCCCCGGGTTTCTTTATGTATAAGATCCCAGCCACATCCCATGCAGTGAATGAACGGTTTCACCGGGGCAAGCTGGCAGAACTACACACTGTATTAGTAGTTTTTCATCAAACAATAACAAGCAACCTACGTCTCCAGTGACAACCACCTGCTTACCGCCAAATGGACGGCCACCCCCCATCGCACCCATAGCTGCCTTCATAATTTCGTTCAATCGCTCGAACAGCAGATTTTCAACCATACTGATTTCATCAATAACAAGAACATCAGTCGAGTCGAACCGTTTCCAGACATCTTTTCCATGAGCAGCTTCCTTCAACTTATTCAGAGGCTTTTTCATGCTGTCAGGTGTCCACCCAGCAAAGGCCCATGTAGTCTGTCCACCAACATTCAAGGCTGCGAGATTTGTTGGTGCTACAATCTGGACTCTCAGCCCCTTTGCCTTGAGCTCCTTGACAAAGGCTTTGAGGATAGTAGACTTGCCGCACCCTGCGGACCCAGTGTAAAATACATTTTTCCTATCTTCAACAATAAGATCGACCACTCGTCTCTGTTCGGCGCTTAACTGGGGTTCGGGTTCCGGTACATAAGTATCCACTTGAGCGAATTGTGGCTGCGAACTTTGCACAAGTTGTTGCTGTTGTTGTTGTCGTTCTGAAACACTTGGCTGGAAGAACACCGGTACGTCGTCCTTCCCAGGTCGAGGATCGGCTACAAAGGGTTCTGTGGGCATTGCATAGCTATACTTGGGTGTATCAACGACGGGAGGGGATAACGACAGCGTTTGCTGCGTTATATATCTCTTATGTGCTGACACAGGCCTGCACGATGTGTTAGACATTTCCCTCAGGTGCTGCATCGCCATTCCGATATAGTCGTTGTTTGCTAATTGGCTATTGTTCGCAAGTATGAACTCCCATGCGTCTAGTTGCGTGGTAAACTTCTTTTGGCGTCCGCCAGAATAGCCCGAAACTTGCTCGTTAGCTGAAAATGAAGACGCATAGACGCCGGGAACTCTCCCATGAGCTACTGCATAATAGTAGGGCCAATTGACAGTAGGATCTGGTTTATAAGTGCGATGCCCAGTGTTTCCACGATCCTGACGGGGTCCAGATGGAGGCAGGCGAGGCTTTTTCGTTTTGGGTAAGGTTTTCGCCTCTGGCTCTGGACTAGATTCAATCTCAAATGGGTTGTTTTGAGTTCCGTGTGGCTTTGCGTTGTGGGACGAGGCATTACCCGGTTTTTGCTCTAGTCGCATGAAGTCATCTGGTGCTTTCTTTTGTTTCGGTCGCTTCACATGTTCAGGTTGGCTCTTCTCCTCGAGCTTCCTCTTTCTCGAACGTTGCTGTGATGCAGTTTTCGGGGGTCTACCTTTAGTGTCTGTGTTCACTGGGGGTCGATGGCGATTGTTATACGTGACAGGATCATCCCCAGAAGGATTGGAGGGCAAAGAGGTGCCCTGCGTGTAGGATGAAGATTGCTTGTACCCTGGGTACTGTGCATACTGCATATATTGTGGTTCCTGCCCGTAATACAGCTGGTGTCTTGGATCTTGCGAATACTGTCGCGACCAGTAGGCCGAATCGCCATCAAGAGGGTTAATTGTATTTCCGCTTCCGACACTACCGTCCATCTCGTCTGATTCTGGATGTAGCACAGTTGGAAAGAAGAACACAGAAAAGGTTACGGAAATAAAAACTGAATGGTTTTTTGAATATCTGCAAGCGCTGTAGCTGTTCGAACAGAGAAAATGACGTGGCGTAGTGAATGACTGTTAAAGTAGTAATACCAAGCCAAGTTGGGGGTCAATGCCCCTCTTAACGACAAGCAAAAGATTGATATAATCACACAATAGGGAAGAATTGCCGTGGACGTAAAGAATATCGCCACTAGACTGTGACTGCATGGCAGCAGGATAGTGGTGAAGAACGTGGTGGTTAAGGGGACAAGCGGACGGACCGATCGGGTCGCGTCCTCACCACGCTAGTACTTACATAAAACAGGCTAACGGTAATCCCCGGGACAATGTCGATATGGAACAAAAAAAGACAGCGCGGGGGCCAGGTTTGATTCTAATAGTTGATGCTCTGTTAGTAACGCAGACCCAGTGAAACAGTTCTTCTGCAATAGGTCCGAAATCCATATTTAAATGATTACATTGGTTTCCTCTGTCACGGTCTGATCACTCCTCAGCGCCGATCGCAGTTTCCAATGCACCCGGACTGTTGTCTTTTCCCCTACTTTGCTTTTTGCGTTCATCCCTGGTCGTTTCTCGACCATGTCGTACCCACCCTGGCTTCTCTGTGATAGGTTGCAAAAAGCCATCGATATGCACACAACCAGCCACCTTCTCCTCGTTTTCGATGTCATTGATATCGGGATCGTATCCATGGACGCGATAACAGTGCTCGGCAACGCGATTCGGTGACTCAAAGTCATGCTCGTGAGCATAGCAATCTGTGTGTGGACAGCGTAAAGTGTTAAACTGGGAGAGCGGACGCTCGGAAGCTGGTGGCTTTGTGCTTGATAAAAGGCTTGTAGCTGCTGGGGTAGATGGAGTATACCATATCGGTTTAGAAGCAGATCGCGACGCCAGAGACTCGTCGTATGGTATAAATGACATACTTTCGCCGAATAGAGCAGCACAGCGCTGAGCTGTGCGTTCCACAGCCGCTTTGTCCCATCCTCTGACAGCTGCGAGTCCAAGCACCTCACTCCAGTCCATTAGGCCTCTCCCCATCTCTTCGTCTTCGATTATAGAATCACCATCACCCACACTGCCCGAAGATCTGCGGCGTTTCCGTTCTCCAAGGGCTTGACTGGACGCCTCCCAGTCAGAAGCACCGCCGGAAGTGGCATCGCTATCCATTGCATTCGTATCTTTGTCTTGCCTATTCTGCTCTACAGCACGATTGGCTCGTGCCAAGCTAGCACGCGAAGACGATCTTGTTCTGGGTCTTCTGCGGCTCGAAGCTGTCCTTGACCGAGCTCTGGATAGCGGCCTCGACTCATGCCCACTTGACTCTGCTCCGGACGTGAATTCGCTCATTGAAGAGCCAGCTGAATCTTCATCGCGAATTTGGTTGAGCTGCATTCGACAGATAGCTAGTGCAAGGTCGTCTAGCTTGTTCATAATAGACTGGATCGACGGCTGCAAGAGCTGTTTCGCTCTCGCATCATCGGCCAAAACAACTGGCTTTGTGAATGTGTCGAGCTGTTTCTTCCTGCCACGCCTCTTCCCATATTCGTGGGTCTGATCCGTGTTGGACTCATGTCCAGCAGCCTCTCCATACGCACCACTATAGGCTTTCGTTTCAGCGTCAGCACGGGATGCGGAGGATGGTCGTGAGAATCGAGCAGATTCTGATGGAGACCGGCTTCGTGAAGTCTCGGGGTCATTGTCGGCATCAGATGTCGATGAAGATATGTCCCGCATATTCCACTGGTCTTTCGCTATCCTGAGGAAAACGGCCAAGAGCTCTTCCCTGAGTTCTTCTCCTGCATCATGTTTGCTGGTACTTTCGATAGCCCACTCATCCGCTTGTCCACGTACTAGCCTACTGTCTGATTTCTCGTTGTAATCGGGAAGCTCTGCTGGAGGCACTGGCCATGCTGTCCAGTCTGGAGGTGGTACTATGGCATCCTGTACCAGGCCCGCTGCGTCCGTGTACTTCAAGTCTTTCTCAGGCATCAGCCACTCGTCCTTGCTCTGCCACATTTCGAGTCGCGCCAAGTCTTGTGCAGGTCGTTGCAATCGCCGCTTGAGCATATGTGCGTTGTACAGATGCGCGGAGAGGTCGGAATTTTCCATTTGTTCGAGCGATTCTGCAATTCGGCGCTCGGCCTCTGTATACTCCTCCCATGTTTGCGGCGTTCCATGAAACCGGTTTGGCCGCACGGGTTCCTCATCCTCATCTTCCTCGTCAGACTCGTCAAACTCATCACCATTTGACTCTGCATCGGTGACTATATCACCGTCTACGTTTGTCTGTACTGAGGTATCGACCGGTTGTGCCTCTTGCGCATCGTGCACATCTGCAACCCCAACAACCGGCGGTGATGAGGGAGCGAACGAGGATTCTGATGTGTCGGACTCATAGGAAGAGAGCCATGGCTTAGCACTGTCACCACCGAACAAGGACATGTCAGCTTCAACAAATATCAAAGCCAGCTGCGGACTGCGCTAGTGTCGATATATGTGTTTGGCGGTTCATTGCTTGTTGGGCGTCCAAGTCACAGTCGGTCTTTTTTGGCAGGGTTCTCGAAATTCACACGAAGTCACGTGGGCGCCCCGCATGACCCCGACAACCTTTACACGAACACATTATCTCGAAATAATCATGTCATACTTATTTACTCTCTCACACGCGTTGTTCAAATTATATAGCCCTCCACTGTTAACATGCTGTGACGTTACTAACCGAACCGTAAACCTTTAAACTTTTTCTACTCTTGCATTTTCATATGGGAGGCCACAGATGACTTCCACAAACTGCGGAATGTGCATTTGATATGGTGCAGTTCTGAATGGCCCGGCCATGCCCAATGAACCATGGTTTTTATGTGCATAAGAGCTGAGGGCCATGCATAACCATAAGTATGTTCGTTCGCGCATGTCTTGTAACCTTAACATTACACAAAATGCCGAAACGTTCCATCTGCCACATATCAGGCTCTTCTTCAGAGTCAAAAGACTCCGAAAAGCGTGTTCGGATCGACTGTGATCGCCCTCTTTTAACACCCGTCCGCTTCCTTATACTTTCTGACACGCATGGCGCTAATTTACCGTCAAGTCTTCCTCCGTGCGACGTGCTCTTCCATTGCGGCGATTTGACCGAGGACGGGACTCCAGAAAGCATCTTCGCGGCTATTCGGAACCTGAGCAAGGTGAAAGCCAAATTGAGGCTGGTCATCGCTGGCAACCATGATATCTCCTTAGACAAAGAGTACTGGGTATCGCAAGGTGGAGCAGAATCCGATTCAGAAATAGTGCAGGCACTATTCAACCCAGAATGCGGAGCTAGCAAACATGGTATCATCTTTCTCTCTGAGGGTATTCATACTCTCAATCTACCATGCGGTGCCGTCTTCAAAATCTATGCCTCACCATACACTCCTGGATGCGGTACGTCGGCATTCCAATACCCGACTGGCAGTGATCGTTTCAATCCCCCAGAAACTACTCCGCTGTGGGCGAAAAACGTTGGCACTGAGACCTCGATTATCCCAGAGAATGTTGACATTGTCATGACCCATGGGCCACCAAAGTATATTCTAGGTGAGACCGCCGGTGACAGTGCAGGATGTGAGCATCTACGAAACGCCATAGTGCGAGTGAAACCCAGGTTACATTGTTTCGGGCACATTCATCTTCCGCGGGAAGGCTGGACCTACCAAGCACACAGGTTGGCATATAAAGACCCACCAAAACCGGACAGTGGTGAACCCGGGTTAATAGCTACCATCTTTAAAGATTGGGTAGGGTCAAATCAAGCCCGCAAGAAAGGATTTAGATGTTTACCTCCCGGCTCTGCAGAAGATTTCCGTGCGAGCAAACAGCAGACGCTCTGCGTCAATGCTGCAATGGAGGGTGAGAAGGGAGAGCTTGAACACCCACCGTGGTTAGTCACCTTAGACTTGCCGGTAAGAAGGTAGACAATGTGTACATTAGTGTTCAATTATCTCAGCCAGTTACCAGCCCGTCTACACATTACTAAGTAATTAATCACTAGGACTGTAGATCGTGGGGCGCTTATACGTTATTAATCCTGTATACTCTCATTTATCCTTTCTTAGGTTCTCGAACACTTGACCTTTTTTCTATCTGGTTACTATGTAGCGTATCAGATCAATTATCTCAAAAATAATGGCAGGACATGCTCCAAGCTGCCGGAATCGGGTATCAAGATAATTAGCTTTGCAGTCAAAGCACACATGATAGGACCAGAAACAACCTCATAAGTGCGTGCCGAAGCAGCACTGTTGAGTTTTATGGACCCTTTCCGAAGATTTTAAGCCATGACATATTGGTGGGGCTTTGTCAGAAGTGAATGTAGCACTAATGACCAGGAAATGTTTGGGTATATCCAAACAAGCTGGCAAGAGAAGCGAAGAAGTGAAGAAGACAGCGTCAATATAGACGAAAATTCAGATATCAGAAAACCAGGAGATAGATTCATCTCAAACAACATCAATCCCCATTGTTACCATTACCCAGCACCCTCTTCTCCTACTCAATCACTCTAAACATGCCTCCTCCTCGCCCACTCACTCAGATACTCCCTCCCCTCCACCCTCCACGTATCGCTCTCCACGTAACTCCCATTCTGCCCCCTCCCCTTCGCTTGAATCACCAAATCAAGCCCATCCTCGCTGTCACCATAGTGCGGCCAATTCGGCAATCCCTCGCCATTCGGATCGCCATTCGCAACAAACCTGATCCACTGCGCGCTCACCTCGTCGCTAAGCGCCTTGTACTCTGGCCACGGACCGTAGAAGCGCGGGTTGTTGAAAACGAAGGCAACTTCAGTAAAGTGCGCAACGCCCATGAATGCTTCTGCGTTGCCGCCCTCGTCGGAGGTGGGGCTGTTCTGCCACGGGAGAGTGTTGAAGCGATAAATGTATGTTGGAGCGTACTTGGCATATTCACGGGCGTCTGCTAGGCGAGGTGCATGATAGAAGACATCGCCTAGTATTGCGGCTATGCGCTTGTACTGGAGGCCTCTCTCTGCGAAGGTCTCCACCCCAGTGTTGAGGGGAATACCTTTTGTTGGATCGTTAGGGTAGAGTTCCAGGAGCCGCTTGACGACTTTGTCCGGGAAATCAAAGCCGGTGCTGTTGAGGAGGTAGGCGTAGATGTCCTCGTCGGTGTTGATGACGCCATCGAAGGGCGCGTTGTCGGTTCCCTCATCCGAGTTGGTACCGTACAAGTGAGGAATATGGGCGAAACGACCGGAGGCGAGTAGTTCGGTTGGGTAGGCGGGCATAACGTCGCCGTCTACAACTGGGTACCAGCTTGGGCTGTAATTTGGGGCTGCAAGCACAGGAAATATTTCATCGTATGACAGGGTACGCAGACAAGCCAGTGTGTCGACTTCTTCCGAACAGTTTGCCTTTTTGACAATGTCATTGTAAATGGGCTGATACCAGTCCGTGCCGTTATACCAAGCTGTTGCTGCAGAGCCGGATTCCTGAATACTACGGTGGAAGAGGCCATCTGTTTGACCGCCATATGACATAACCAACTGTCCGACTGCAAAACTTCCAGCCGACTCGCCCCAGATAGTGACGGCATCTTTGTCGCCCCCAAAAGCCTCAATGTTCTCCGAGATCCATGCAAGAGCCTTTCGCATGTCTCGCAACGCAAGATTTGTTTGGCCAGCGCCCTGAATTTCTTGTGAGTAGAGCAGGCCCCACGCACCCTTGCGGTAGTTAATGCTAGCTCCAATAATTGGCTGACCGATCTCTACGCTCCTTTGAACAATATATGACAGATTGTAGTTTGGTAAATCCGTAGAGCCGATTTGGTAACTTCCACCGTGAATCCACACCGCAATTGGCAGTTTAGACTGCTCCTGTGGGGAGAGGCCTGATGGGCGCACAATGTTGATGCTCAGGCAGTTTTCGCTCATGATGAGGCTACTGTTCATTGAATCCGGGCATGTATCGCCGTAAGATGTGACGGGGCGTGTGCCGTTCCATGTAGCATTCAGAGACTGTGGCACGCGGAAACGGTTCTCACCTCCAGTATCCTGCGCGTACGGAACGCCTAGAAAGGCATCCTGGTTAAAGGAGGGAAGGTGCAAACCTTCGTATGTACCGTTCAGCACTGTGACAGTAGGACCAATGGCCCATGCTGTCGTTGCCAAAAGAAAAGTTGCTAGTGCTCGCATTGTCCCAGCTCTTTTAATGAACGTCACGATGTTGACTCACAAACACCAGTGATGTTTGTTGGAAACAGTACAGTGCGGAGTGTGTGCGAAGAGGAACCGTTCTCCAGCTTCTCCATAGCAGCAAGCCGAACGCTAGCAGGAATAAGGCGCCCTAAGTTGTGAGTAAGGACCCTTGTATTGTGGTATGACGTTCGTTCCATTTTGTGATAAGAGTCCATTTCCAGAGCGATCAGCGGGGCTGTACCTCGGTAGTCAGGGATGATACGGAAGGTAGACAGGAATCTTGCATGGCGGCATTCCATCCAAATGTCCGCTCGACGGTATCGGGTACGTGCGACAGTCACTTGATTGGTGCCAGCATTCTAACCGACAGACCCCACCCAATATGTGATGCTTGCTATACTTACATACTCCAATACTTGCACGGCCCTACCATGGGATGCCTGAAATAGAAATGTGCATGTCAACCCGAAGACGTCTTCAGTCCTGCCTCAAAAAATCTTCGACAGAAAGCTGTGTCTCTTCTTTGTTGGTTGATCTACCAGCTGTGCTGTCGTAAGCTGTGGTAGAGGATGTAACATATCTCCTGGTAACTCGACTGGCAATGGCGCGACGCCGTAATGCGGTTCCTTGCTTGGGAGTGAGATGTTCTGAACTGTGCTTTGCTGGATATGCTGATTGTGCTGGTATAACGAAGCATTGTGAATTGAAGGGGATTGGTGAATAGCCATCGGCGATGGAGGAGTACTAAAGGCGCCATTCAACTGTGATTGAAGATGAGCCTGCGGCTGAGGTCTTTGCATATGTCCATATGCATATTGTGGTATCTGTGGTTGAGGTGAAGGTGCCGTGTTGGCGTGATGCTGGTGCACGCGCTGAGCACTCCAGAGGCTGAAAACCTCGTTCATGAGAATCGACCATTCTGGAGGTCCTCCCAGGAAGCTGTACTTGACAGATCCGTCCTGGAATGCAATGAAGTAGTGGTCTTGGTGATACGGCGAGATGGCAACGTACTAGTTTATGTTAGGCTTACATCCATACAACCAGCAGAGCATGACTAAACACGTACGGTGATAGCTCCTGGTGCAGCATCGATTATGATCTTATTGAGTGTGCTGTAATGGCCATGGAAATCCCATGCTATGCGCCGATCAGGATACATGACGAACCATGCATTCTTCACTCCGAGACTAACACAGATGGGCGTATCATGCGATTTTCGGAGTTTATCCTCCAGATCTGAGGGTATACCAGCCCATATTGACCCTCTTCCCTGGGCACAAGCAAAGTAGCTGAAGTTCTGGCCAAATGTGATGAAGCATGAGCGGGCGGCATTCGGGAACGATTTCGACCATCGCGCAAGATCAGGATAGTTGACGTCAAAATAGGTTTGAGAAAAAACTATCCTAGATTAGCGCAATATCAAAGAGGTGTGTATTGTCTAAAGTAATACAGGCCGCTGTTCTCATGCACCCTACTACTGCGGGGCTGGGGCCTAATCACTCACATTGCTTGTCTTCTCCGTCTAATGTCTTGCACCCTACATACCACACTGGCTCTTGGGTGTTGACATGAGGTGCGAGGGCAAGGCAATAAGGGCTAGCAATTCTCCAAGCAGGGCTCATGGAGCTGTTGAATAACTGACGAAGTGTGGGCGGTACTTCATGACTGTGCGCTGTCAATCACCTAGCCTCGTCCAGGTTGCACTGCAAGAAGCTCACAATTTCCATGTTTGAGGACAGTCGAAAAAGATGATATTTCGCGGACCGAAGACGAAGGAAATGTTCGACATTTTTCAGGCAGCGTCCAATATTGGATATGGTGGAAGAGAGCGAGCACAAAAGTTGCGGTTGCCAGCGCGTAGCAAGGCGCCCCAAGAAAGTGGCGCCTTAGGGCCTTGCGGACGTGGAGAGTCGGTCACCAACGGTACGGCTGAGAGCTGTCACCGGTCACAAGGGCTATACGAGAAATCCGCTTGAATCGTGTTCTCCAACACATTCCTGAAAAGGCTTGAGGATCGGGAAATTTCCAAGCAATAGCAGAATTTTTGAGAACAACGCAAATAGGAAATTGAGAAGGAGCAGTTTCAAGTTGTGAGCGTTTTCGTGCTTAGAGAACATAAGAGCAACAGGCCAAAACGTCATTATTAACTCACGAGGTTTTGTACTGCTGGCTCCTTTTCTTTCACAACTGGTATTTCCTCTTCATATATCTCCCTCACGTGTGCACTTGGAAAGGCCTTCCGCAGCGTTTCGCCCATGTAGCGAACGCCCCAGTCTTCCGCTTGCCTATGCCCGACACAAGCTACCGACATGCCCAGTGCTTTCGCAGCTTCCAGCCCACTAACCCGGGGTTGCCCAGTCAGATACAGCAGATGTCTGCCGTCTTCATCCGGTGCTATCCATCCACGCTCTTGTGTCATCTGAAATACGCGATGCACTTCACCCTCGTTGAAGGCATTCATGATGGCGACGAAGCGTATTTCGTCCGATAAGCCTACATGCGCCAGTTCGGAAACGCCAAACTGTTCTTGGATCTGAATCAGGAGCTCCTGCAGAGGCATGGTGATCTGACCAATGACTCCGATCCTCCTCTCTAGATCTCCTTTATAGCCTTGGACGCAGAGGCAGTTCGCTGTGTCTATGCCTAACCTTTGTGCTAGCGCTGTGTTCCATCCTACCGTCAGTACCTCGTCGAAGGAAGTATGACTTGAGAGAACAAGAGTGCCTTTGCGCACGCTGCGTCGATTGAGGTTGAAGGGCCGGTGTAGAAAGCAGAGGGTGCGCGGTGGTCGTGGATAGATCTGCGCTGTAGAGCCCGCAGTGTTATCGTCCAGTGGGTAGCCGATCAAAGAGTAAACCCCTGGAGTTGGTGTGACGCTCAGTATAATCTGCTCAACTATCGCAGTCTCTGCATCGTAGCGAGGGTTTCGAGGGACGTGGTATAGTCGCTGGACGTCGTTTTCCTTGAGTGGCAGAAGTGTTTCGACAAAGCGCGTCACAGCCGCATGCGTAATCTTTTTCGGCCTTGACATTGAAGAGTGAAAGACCCAGTCTGCTCGTTAGTGGGTATCAAAGGAGTTCTCTGGCAAGCTTCATGACCTTTTGCTTCAAGTACGTCATGATGCCATCTCAACCGTGAAGCGTTGAAAGCCTAGGCCTCCAATGCGCCCGCCGCTTTGCAAATCGCTAGATATGTGCCTGAGCATCAAGCGCGCATGCTTCCATTGCACGGTAAATTGCGCGTAGAGTTGAGAAGCTGTCCAAAAGGTGCTGCATCTGCCGAGGAGTGATTGGCATCGCCACCACCGGCATCGCGCCGCGCCCAGACAGAACGGGCTTAGTGTGATGGTTGCTTTCTCTCCCGAATTATCGTCGCTTCGTAGTACGTACGGTCTTGAGAATAGGGTTTTCTTGGAAAAACTACGTTTTGAAAATAAATTTCACTATCCTGTAAGCCTGGGTAGTCCGAACATCCATGAATGTAGTCATCACCTTGACTAAGGGCACTTGCATTGCTTCCCGCGGCTTCTCTATCTTTCGATCTAAACTCCGGTCATCATCCAGTCATACCTCCTTCACATTGTCTCGTCGCTCTTTGTACCTCGAGTCCTACCGGATAACAAACATGGGTGCCACAACTGCTTCTGCTCCTGCCATTGTAGGTGCGCTGCAATGCCAAAAAAACTCTTATCTTCAAACACTCGAGACTCAAGTAGTGTCGTGTGAGGAGTTCGTGCCCCCAAAAACATCGCAGCAAAACAGCAAGTCCAAAACCAAAAAGTCGACGGATCCAACCAAAGCCCTCGAGAATGGAGATGCGACAACAAGTAAGACCTGGCTCATTGAGCTCGCGGACTCGGTTCTTTTCCCTGAAGGCGGCGGCCAGCACACTGACCACGGCGTCCTTGTGCCTTTGGAAGGTGAAAGCAAAGAAGGAATACCAATACGAAGTATTCAGCGCCACGGTCTCCGCTGCATACACTTTTCTCCTACTCCCCTCACACCTGGTACATCTGTACGCCAGACCGTCGACTTTAACCGACGTTGGGACCTCATGCAACAGCACACTGGCCAGCACCTCCTCTCCGCTGTCATGGATGGCATGGGTTTGCCCACCCTAGGATGGAGCATGGGTCAGCCAGGGGAGATGAACTATGTCGAGTTACCACGCAAACCAACCGATGAAGAAATGCAGACGATACAAAAGGACTGCAATGCAAGGATTAGAGAAAGTATACCGATTACAGTAGAGACGCCTGAGGGCAAAGGAAGTGACAGTCTCCCTGAAGACTACGATAGAGAAAAGGGCGTGGTGCGGTTCATTAAGATTGGAGAAATGGACTACAACGCCTGCTGTGGAACCCATCTCCAAAACTCTTCGCACATCAACCTCATACTCCTGCACCACACACAATCCGTGCGAGGCACAAACTGTCGATTGTTCTTCACAACGGGCGACCGCGCGATTAAACTGGCCACAGAATCCGTTGCGGGCCTTCGCACCATTGCCGTCTCACTATCCTCGGGCTCGGCACCAGCCGATGTAGCAGCCGGTGTGCAAAGAATCGCCGATCAGGTCTCTGAAGGACGAAAAAAGGAGAAGAAGCTACTCGCTGAGACTGCTTCATTTCAAGGCGAACGCATCAAGAATCGTCTTCAAGATCATGAAGCAGCATTCCTGCACCGCGCGAGCGAGGGACTGGATTTCATCAACCTCGTCCTCTCCGAGATTAAAGACGCAGTCAAGGATCGAGATGCCGTCGTAGTCTTGTCTACAGGCGAAGTCAAGAACTCAGGATCGCTCGTCGTATTTGGCAAGCCGGAGTTGGTGGAGAAGATGGCGGCAAAGGTCAAAGAGGTTGTAAACACAGTCAAGGGTGGAGGTAAAGGCGAAAAGTGGCAGGGTAAGGTCACAGAGTGGCAAAAGGGCGAGGTTGAGGCGCTGGAAAAGATTGTAAATGAGCAATAGATTCTATAGAAAGGAAAATAGAGGGTATAAGAAGCGATTGGTCCAAGAGAATAGATAGGAAATAGGAAATACAAGGTAGATATTGGGCAGCATTTGTGATATGACTTTCCTCTGGCACACAACACCCTTCATCGAAGAAGTAAATACATAGAAGAAAGAGAAGAAGCATATAGTCAGAGAAACGAAAAAAAAGAAGGGCGACGCGTACAAGATATTATGTATGCGTCACCAGATGCAAACGATGTCTAGAAGCATCTAAGAATAGCTCTCAAGTCTAAACACTGTAGACCTTGACCGAGTTGATGAGCCAGTACGACTATTCAAAGTCAGCATAACGATATTCCCTTTTCAAACACTTCACAATTCAACTCACCTCGGAAAAGTTCTGCGGCTGACCCGCAACATATGCGACACAACTCGGATTGACCTGCGCACAAGTCGTCGACCCCCAAACTCCTCCCGCCCAATCCCCACAAAACGTAACATCAAAGACGAGATTCAAATCGCGAAACTTGGCATCGAAATCGCATCCGTTGTTTCCGAAATTCGCAATCGGGGTGCCCCAAGCCGAGGGGTCCGGGTTCCCGGACTTGATGTTGGCGGGGATGTTGCGAGTAGCAAAGTACCAGACTTTGACGCCGGAACTGGTCCAGAGGGTGGCGTAGACGCCACCTCCGTTGGCGTTGAAGGGTGTGCCGAAGGAGACGGGGTTGTCGGCTTGGATACCGCAGCCGTTGAAGCCGCCGTCGGCGCCGCAGTCGCCTGCGAGACGACGTCCGGTTTCGCCGCCGGGGCCGATAGACGGATTGCAGCCGGGGGAGGTGTGGAGGGTCACTTGGTTGGAGCTCGAGAGGTGGACGCCTTCGTAGATATCGATTTCGCCTTGGTTGGGCCAGTTGGGACCGACCATCCAGCTGAGAGGGAGGGTGTTAGTGAGGTAAAGGATGGGATGGGGGATGTGGAAAGGGGGACGTACAAGGCGGGCCAAGAGCCACATGCACTACCGGGAACATGGGCAAAGTCTGCAATGACGAGAGCGCGGTTGTACGCTGTCTTACTTTGTATTCTAACACTCCTTCTTCCCGGACCGTTGGGGTTGAGGGTAGAGGTGGAGTCAACGCCCATGTATACCTGATTATTCTGCGTCTTGAATAGTCCATATTGTTGTGCCTGTTGTAGAGTGACATAGTCGACGAAGCCATCTGCATCCTCAGTCAGAAAACAAAACTTATAGACACTAGCGTGAAATGATACATACGAGTGGGATCAGCGATGTCCTCAAAGTTGAACTTGCTCGCCCAGTTACTAGCGTCATATGTATCAATCAGGCTGTACGCCGCCGCAGCACTGAAGTCGGGAGAAGACACAATCGTCGAGTTTCCATGTGTCCAGGAACCAGGGCCAGCAGGGAGTGCGGTAACACCGCGCCAAAGCAACGGTGCTGAAACGAAGAGGGACTTGAGAGACATGAGTGGCAGCTATTCGTATCCAAGTAGTAAGAACAAAAATCCTGGAAAATGCAACCAAACAGATGATAACAAAAAACCTCAATCCTTAAAAAAAACCGGTTCCATCTATCCAACTTATACATTTCACAAACCTCCTCATCACACACCCAAACCCTCACTATGCGCACGCCCCACTCCCACCACAACCTCCTCCCCGACCCATCCAGGTCTGCTGGGCTGCTCCACCCGCCCATGCCCAACGGACATGTATGTTGGAAGCAGAAAAGACAAGAAAAAGCCCCATAGCTGTGACCAGCGTGACCAGCACTCCTTCACCATCTCCCTCCGCCGATTGGCCCAAGGACCTCAAATTAGGAAATCAAAGCCTTGCACCGTTACAACATCCTTCTACGTAAGAAGAAAAAATGGGGCTAAAAGTTCAAAGACACACACACACACAGAGAGAGAGAGAAAGAGAAAAGGCGCAGGGTCTGTAAACGGTCGCGCGGAAATAAGTCCTAGTTGGAGCAAGTCGTGCGGATTCAAAGGGCACGCAGGGTCGCTGCCCCCCTTCAACGTGGGCATGCCGCATGATGAGAAATGAGCGATGGGCCAAGGGGGCGTGAGAGCCCTCGTGGTTTGATGTTTAGTAGTAGTAGGCAAAGTACGTAGCCGGGCGGTTAGTTTGGTTGGTTGGTTGGTTTTGGTTGGCCGGTCAGTAGGCAGGGGGGGGGGGGGTCCGACGTTAGCATGTGGTGTTTTGGCGATTTTTCTTAGTAAGAGTAGGATGAAAGGAAAAAAAAGGCATTTTGGTCTTCTTTCGCTTGTGAGTGGTGGAGGCATGTCGCTTTGTTCATCTAAAAGCCGAGTCTTGGACTCCGCGGATCGTGGCGACGTCCGGCGAACTGTGGGCTAGGGGAAATGAAACAGCGTATGTACTCTACTAAGAACATGGGGGGGAGTGCGCTCGAGTCATGTGTAGGGCAGAATGGTTGATGGAGGGGGAAGGTTTAAGGATGGCCTTCCGTTTTGGGACTGATGGTTTTGGTCGGTTTGGTATTCATCTCCGTGTTATCATGTTGACTTGTGATTGTCTATGTGCTTGCACCTTCCCTGTATAAAGGGCTTGTTCCTTGGAACCTTTTTATGCCCAAGGAACTAACTGGATATTTTTTCGCTATGCAAGAGTCGCAAGTCAAAGGAGAACAGCAGCCGAGTGTTCACGCCCGTTATACTATTGCGCTAACCCCGCAATTTTTCTATCCCCATGGCCTGCGCATCTGATGTTCGCTGGTCACACTACCACCGGTCTCTCGACGCCCCACAGAATTACTGCAGCGAAAGCGAAATAACCCCGGATTTTCGCTGCATGCGCAGCTCTCGCGTGGTTTGGAGTTGCATTGCTCGGGCTGATGAGAATGCGACCAAGGGCGTCTGGGCAACTTGGGCTCCTGTCACATAACCTTCACCGCTACAGAGAAGCTTGAGATGTGGCATCATCGGTATAATGTTGTTAGTCAAGTGGAGACTAGTGGTTAGGCCGGTGAGACTAGTTTTGAAGAAGAGGGGGGTGGTTGTGGTACTGATGCGAAGGAGGAAGGTAGTGGACTTCATCGCGCGCCAACGGCGGTGCCGTACTAGAGCACTAAGAGGGGCAACTATACCGGTATTTTGTCGACTTGCCTGGGTATAAAGTGCGTGGATGGCCCATGTTGGTTTGTTTAATCGTGGTGCAGGTAAGGACTCCTTGATTCAGAGTTTCACCTCCTGGTATACTGTACAATCCGAGGTGTCTAGTGTAAGACAGTACGTCTTGATAGAACAGAGGAAGTCGAAATCCTAGGGCGAGAAGTACTGAGTGTAATAAACTTTTCTCTTTGTAGTCTACACAAGTGCTGTGAGCCTAGAAGTGACCTAATGATCGTGATTTTCAGCCAGCCATTCAAACTGTACTTTTGTTCAGCGTACTTAGTAGCCTACTTGAAGTAAAGACAATGATGCGAAATATTCCAAAAACCTTTTTCAAGTCACCTCACAGGATATCCTGGTCAATAAAAAGTGCATGTGAGAGAATATGTCTATGTAGTGACCACAAGTTCTTCAATCAACAGACATCGCATCTCAATGGCGAGGTTGGAACGACAAATAGACTTATCACTCAGAACTTCGTATACGGAGATTTATTTTTCTCTACTCCAGAATATGAATCATAGTTGCTAGGGAGCGACATGAATAGATTTGTCATCGCATACTGATCTATCAAACATTCACAATTATGTTCTGTACTCGAACCTTTTTGTACCACCAATATGCAAACGTTTTGCTCGAGTCCGTTGTTGAGTACATTCATCAGCACCGTGTTACCAGCCACCCTCAAGGTTTTTCGGGGATTTTCTTCATAATTCTTGGTTGACGTCTAGCAATCGGAATAGCATTTCCTTGCCAAATCCAGTAGATGCATGAATCCAAGTTCACTGCACGACAAAGTGGCCGTCACAAATTGAACAATCGTATCTCTCTAAGTCAGTTATAAAAAATCTACTCGAGCTCATCTACATATTGAGCCAATGCAAAACCCCCATCTACCCAGCCATGTCTATCTTCTTCTCAACAAGTTCTCCCTTTCAATACTCCTCTGCGCTGTCAACACAACACAATGTCCACTCTCACCAATCCACTCAGCCTACCTCTCACTTCTTCACAACATCAGAATTTTCTGTCCCACCCCAACACCTGTACCACCACAACGCCTCCCAGAATCTTCACAACATCCCACATTATCCTCATACAGCCTCACTCTTCACAAAGCCATACTCTACTCATCTTATTCACCGTTTGTACAATGCCCTTTTCCAAGAGCTATATCAAAGGTTCTCAGAAACAACGAAAGAAACTCTCTCCCTCACAACAACCCAAACCAAGTCAACAAGGCAGTATACCATCAATCAGCAAAGTCAAGTAACAAAGTTCGGTTTGAAAAAAAAGAATCCTCCCCAAAAAAAAAGCTTTTCCTTCCGGGAACGACTGAAGAAGAAGAAAAGAAAATGCCTCTTGAACCAGGTATGAAGCACTTCATCGCAACCTTCACCCTCGTCCCCATGCTCTGGCTCTGGTGGCTCTCCATCCTGCCCAACACGGCCTCGCTCGGCGTAAACGCAGTCTGGAACTACAACCCCTCGGACCCCAGCATATTCCTCGCAACCAGCCTCGTCGTCACCATGGCACTCTGGATCCTACACCTGGTTCTCACAATGAAAGCCCGAGGGGAGCCCGTCTCCCCCTCCATCGTGTTCGGCCTCACGTTCCACACGGTCCCCGCTCTGTGTCTGCTTGCCGCGGTGCTCAAGTCGAAGATGGCACAGGATACGCAGCTGGTGTGGTTTAGTGCGCTGATAGCGCTGCGGTACTGGCGTACGCTGGTTGCGGTGTTCTTCTGGACGCGGTACACGCCTTCTGTGCGCTGTACTTATGGCGCCAAGGCAAAGTACGCGGCTGAGGACTGTACGGTTGTGGTGGCTACGGTTGGTCCGGGCCTGAATCTCGAGTTGTTCACGCGAATGGTGGAGGGAATCCTTGCTAACAGGCCGAAACGCATTGTGTTTTCTACGCCAGAGGCTGGCATTGCGGATATTGTGCGTCCGATTGTGTTGGGGATCCAGAAAGTGTTTGATGAGCGTAGGGTGGGTGGTGGGGAGAAAGAGATGGACGGGTGCTATAGCGCTACTGAGATTGTTGTAACGGGTGAGGCTAATAAGAAGGATAAGCGGACACAGACGGCTGAGGGGATCAAGATGGTTGACACGGAGATCATGGTTATGGCCGATGATAGTGCAGTGTGGCCCCCAAAGCTCCTCGAGGCTGCGCTTCCGGCTTTTCAAGATGACAAGGTAGGGTTTGTGGGGACTCGCAAGTGGGTTGAGCGGTTGCCGTTGCCCGAGTATGATGCTGAGCTCAACTGGTTTCAGAATTTGGTTGCTCGGTATCGCGCTGGCTTCTGGAATACCATTGGGGCGCTGTATCTCGTGCGTCACAACTTTGAGATTCGCGCCTCGAACGCCGCGGATGGAGGCGTCTTTTGCGTCTCTGGCCGTACCAGCTTGATCTTGTCTCGGATCGTCAAGGATGAAGGGTTTGTTGGAAAGTTTCTCAATGAGTACATTTGGTCATTTCCTAGCCTTGGTGTCGAGGGCGTTGGTCCGCTCAAGGCTGACGATGACAACTTCATCACGCGCTGGGTCATCAACCACGGCATGGACGTCAAGATTCAGTACACCGAAGATGCGACCATGACCACTCAGCTGGGACGTATGGAAAACTTCAAGTTTGTGGACCAGTGCATGCGCTGGAGCCGCACGACTATCCGACAGAACCCTATCGTCCTGTTCGTCGACCTGACTGTGTGGTGGAAGTGGCCCATCTCTGTCTGGATGGTGTACTTCCCGTGGATGTACAACGCCGCTCTCTTTTGGGATACCCTGGCAGTCTGGACCTTTACCACTACCGCATTCTTTCGCGACTCTTCAGTCAAGTACTACTGGTTAGGTCTCCTAATCTCTCTCATCTGGATGTCGAAGCTAACCAAGACGATCCCGTGGTTCATGCATATGCAGAACCGTTTAGACTTCTTCTGGTACTTCTTCCCCATCCCGGCCTACCCCCTGTTTGCGTACGCTCACTCCATTATCAAGATCTACACTGTCGCAACCTTCTGGGTCAACGACTGGTCTGGGCGCACTCAAGATGAGAAGCAGCCAGAGTTGGACGGCATTAAGGCCAAGTAGGTTATCGGGCTAGACCAAGGTGGGATGACTGTGTTGTCCTAGGACTTGGGTTACGCTCCTCGGGAATTGGCCCGGAACAGATTTGTAAGTGGCTAGCCACCTCTTTCTACTTTGCTATTTTTTTGTGGCAGGTGACTGGAGGCGTTTGTTGTGGCCGAGTCATGGGCGACTGATTCCACCGGGGCGACAGACATCTAGAACCTTGATTTAAACATGTTGTTTTCCCGGGCGTGGGAAAGGGACTGCATGATGTTTCCTTTGGCGTTGGTTAGTTGTGTTTTCGATACCCATGGGTAGTATCCGGAGAAAGGCTTTGCCAGAGTAGATCGATCGGTCTAGATTTTTATAGGCGTTGTTTGTTTCTTTTCAAATGCCGAAACAGAGTTTTTACTCACCATCCCCGTTCAATGCATGATTTGTTAATGCTGTGACTACGTCTAGATGCGTGATGATTTTGCATATTTAGTTTTTTTTTGGGATAGGTAATCAATGATGAGTTCGAAGTGAAGTGATGTACATCGTTAGGGATCGAGATGTGAATAGTGACGTCAACTTGTTTGAGGAGTGGGAATGAATCGACAGAAATAACACGACGACTTTTTTTTGATACCATCCTAAGACAGACCAGAAAAAAGGCCACGGTTAGTACATGAGTGAACATATTGGTGTAGGATGAGCCTACAGCAGGGTGTGTTCCTTGTGTGCAGGGTATCGTACTCGTGTTCGCGTTCGCGCTAATTTGTTATTTGGGTCATAGTGTAGGTAGTGGCATCCATGGACTGGTGAGTATGCACTTTGGATGCACTTTGGAAGCGCTTTGAATGCGAAGATATTAAAATCTCCTGCAGCATCTCGAAGTGGCGACAGAGTGGGTATTGTCGTCCAAATAGAGTACTGTCTAAGAGGATATGGCTTTGGGGGTACTAGGGCCACCTGCCCCATCCGTACTTTCTCCACATGAGCTGAGAACAGTTCGGACCCGACAAGATGGATACGTCTGAGTTCATCTGCGACTACACAGCACTCTGAAATTTTCCGTCTCACTCTGCGTGTGCTAAGATTGGGAGTTTTGGCGAGAAAAAAGGAGCAGGGGAGAGAGGCGGCTTCGCATCGGGCCACTTCCCCTCATTGCATTCTCACGACATTACAGCATAGCATGGCATGGCTGCCTGACACAGTGCGTGACCATTGGACTCACCCACGCAGTTGGCCCCCAAGCCAGACGCGGAGGACCACGTCGGCGCCACTCTTGAAATGGTGCCATGTTGGGCAAAACCTTACAGGATAGGCGCCAAATCAACACGTCCACGCTGCATGGTCGCCAACCAAGGATGGCGATATTGCGGGAATGCTCCTAAGCACCCCGGCCCTGAAGGAAAAAGCAAGTCTTATCACCAGCTTCCGGTATGGCGCAGACGGGAGTGGATGTCGAGTTGCCGCCCGATACATGGGGGAGAGACTGGGGTAAGCGAAGATTGGGGGCCAGAATCCAAAAGACACGATACGAGCGAGGCATGTGCCGGGCCCGGCGCAAGCCCCTTGCACTGCCAGGGAGGCGTGCAAGGCGGGAGGAGTAGTGTTTTGGAAAGGGTAAAAGCAAAGCCGTCGGTCGAAGCCAATATCACAGATGGAGCCCAGGGATGCGATGGAGAGGCCAAGTGCAGACAAAGACATGTTTGCTTTGTCCTCGCTTGCCAGTTGGTCCTGGCCTTGCAGGGTCTGGTCGGCCCCGGGCCCGGGCCCGGCTCGTCCACGGTGGGTGTCGCAAGTCCGCGGCCATGGGTGACGGTGCCTTTGCCTTGTGCTTGTACTGTGTAGGCTAGCATCTGGGGATGAGACGGCGCTTCCTTGCAACGCACGCCAGCGCCCAAACATGGTTTCGGTACCACAAGAATGGGCAAGCTTTAGCGATGGCAATGGCAATCGAGGCAAAGGCTAGCAAGTGTGTATGTAGGCCTATGTTTGTGTCTACATACAGTTGATGTGTACATACGTATACACATACGTGTAGTGTAGACGTGCCAGCGCCTTTGGCGGCCCTTGCATACTTGGGGCCTGCCAGCGTTAGGGGCCTGCTTGGGGAGGTTTCAGAAGAGACATGTTTGCGAACCCGAACTCTGATTGCGAAGCCGGCGTCGATCGTGGTTGGATGCGTCTTAGACGTGTGTGTACAAGTGCATGGGCGCGTCATCTTCCTTGCCATGTGTCGGTCCGGGCCAACTCAATGTGTGTGTGTGTGTGTGTATGTAGCAGATGGAGTGTGCAAGTACACCTAGCGTGTGCGTGTGCGCGTGCGTGTGCGTGTGCTCTCACCTCCCCTGGGCATGGGAGGTGGCCACATGATGAGGCTCTGTGGAGGACATGGATAGAGAGAGATGGGTGGTTAGTGTCGTTGGTGGTGCAGGCAGATAGATGGGCGTGGGAGTGGGCGGCCAAAGTCGTACGTTTATCGGGCGTGCTTGTCCACGCTTGGCTCTTCCCTTCATATGTCTCGCAGCCATGGTGTCGCTCCGCTTGCACTCATGGAGCGCGGGAAGGATCAGCGACCCATTTGGCCGGGTCTTGCCCTCGCTCTTCTGGGTCGGTGGCTTGGCTGCGGGGTCACTTGCCTTTGGCGAGCCCGAAACCCACCACCAAACTTTGGCCCATCGGCCCATCCACGCTCACGGTGAGCCCACGCAACGGCCGTCGATAACTAATCTGGCGTCTGCCTCTGCGTCGCTGTGAGCCCGCAACGGCCATTCGCTAGCCACTAGCCTGGCTCTGAGTCTCATCGCCCCTCTGCTCCATGGCAGGCCCTATCGCTGCACTCATGCCAAAAATGGCTCTCCCAAGCTCGCACAAGTGCACGAGGCAGTGAGAGAAAGAGGGGGCACAGCGCCATCGCAGTCGAGCCCAAGGTCGTGGACCGCCTGTCGTTCTCCCCCTCCCCCTCGCATCGTTCGTGTCGCATGAGCCCAGATGGTGGTTGTTGTTTGACGCTCGGTGCCAAACTGCTGGTATTCTCCTAGCAGGCATCGCTTGCTGATCACCCGTCCAGGTGGCTTTGAACGGCCCATGTGTCTAAAGGTACACACCACCACTACCACCACCACCACCGCCTCCACCACCACAAACTGTTCAAAAACGGGCGGCCACAAAGTGACCTTAGCACTCCTCCCCCGTTATAGGCGACGCCCTTGCCAAATCCGACCCAATCAACCGCTCGCCAGCGCGAAGCCAGTACCGGCCGCCCTTGAGAACGATAATGAGAACGAAATCAGACCATCGAAGCCTGTTTAGTGCCGATTGCACACGTACGGCTCTCACTACTGCTCTGCCTAGCCTCGATGGGTGTACTGAATCTTCGGGCCCATCGAAGCATGCCTTGGTGGAGCTTAATTCCCCTTTTGGGGGAGGGGTTCAAGATGAGGGCCATTGCCACGATCGCCTGTCTCGACACTGCTGGCAGCGGCAAAAGCCGCTTCGCCTAAATACATGCGCAACAGACGTGCTGCGTGCGCACACACACATACATCGGAGCCGCTATGACCGCCCGCGCCCTTGATCTTCGTTGGTATGGACTTGTATAGGATACGTTCAAACTTTGTCAACTTGCAACACGTCACGGGCCGCACGGCTGCCTGCACACTGGTGCATGCAATTATCATCACTCCATCTATATTTTCAAGATGCCATGTTCAACACAGACGCAAATGACTTGACTTCTGCATCCTGGCGGTAGGTAGCGCCACTGCTGTCGGCCCTTTTCTCCGCGAGTGCAGCTTCATACCAAGCAGGGCCAATGCCAGTCACGGAACGATCTGGACTACGGCCACAGTCTGGGGCGGAGCGTCCCATGTCCTGTTGTGTCATTCACACACACACACAAACATGCTCAGGAAGCACCGACCCCTGATCCCTGAGGGGGGCCTAGAGCATGCACCCATCTCACCGGGTGCTGCAGTTAAAGACTGGCAACCAGCGTGCCTGTGGCGGTGCACAATCACAGCACTGAGACAGGCTGTTTTTCTCCTGCAGTAGTTTCATTGCGCCCTTGGCCTCTCTGACTGCACGATCACGATACTGGCGTTGGCGTTGGCGTGGCCGGATTACAGTATCGATTGCGTACAGGAAATCAAGCGACCCCACGGACATTGCATCCTGCGGGCCGCAGGACCAAAATAGTTTGTTGTCTTGCATATCACAAGTCACAGAGGGATGGTATTGGAGTTGGACCAACCACCAGGTAGCATGCACAAACCCAAAACTGTCCTGGTACACGGCCTCATTACCGCATAGACTGTGACAGTGATTTCGTAGACTAAAATAGTCTGGATTGGGGAAGTGGTGCGATTCGATCATCGGACTCATCATCGCGGCGCAAATATTACGATAAGCGTTTCCCTTGGACGCCGCCGCCGCCTGGAGTGGCTGTTGTGGAGCAGCAACAGCGCCAGCAATAGGAGCAGCACCAGCACCAGCATCAGCACCAGCAATAAAAAAAAAGTTGAGTATTGAGTTACGACGCTGACGCTCTTGGGCAGACGGGGTCATGGTTGAGAAGTAAGCAAATTAAGTAAATTAGTAGGAGTAGCGAGATGGAAGTGGGCGTGGAGCAGGGGTGCAAGATTGGATTGTCCGTATGCATCGGGTAGGGTAACACAGTCAATAACCATGCGCAGTTAGTTGTAGGTGGAATGGTCGAGGAGGGTAGAGTATACTCGGCAGGCGTGCTGGTTCCAGAAGAGGCTGCGGTTCGCTGGTTGGACAACCTTATCCACCGCGTCGGGCCATGGGCGTTCAGGGACCCGGCGAAGCAGGTTGGGTTGCTACGCTGAGTGTCGAGATTACTTATGCGTGGACATGGTACGGAACGTGAGGTCCGTGTGTGACAGGCAGGACGGCCTCGGTACCCTGAGATGGCCAGAATTAAGGCGTGGGAGGGCACAGAGCGAAGGGCGACCTGGCAGGACGCCCTGAGGGAGATTGGTACGGCGACCATACACCCCACATGCAGGCTGTCTGATACTCTAACCGGGACAGGGCGGGGTGTAAATTACCTGCCATGTTCGCATCCAAATCATGTGCAGTGGCCGTCACATGGGGGTGTGATCCAGTAGACGGCGACCTCTCCTGCATACACCCCCTCTCGTCTAACAAACGACAGCAGGCAGGCAGGCAGGCAGGCTGGCTGGCGACCAGGCTGGCGACCAGGCTGTGATTATTCAGAGGGACGGATCACGCCACGTAGCACACAGAGTAGGTGTGTAGTGTAGCCTCGCATTGTGCTCACCGCGACGGTCAGAGTGTCGTTGTGGATGAGGATGCATTGCAACATGTGCTGGTGCTGGTGGTGCTACTACTGCATCAGCGAGTCCCACAGACGACCATGATACCGTAGGAAACGCGGTGAGGTCAGCAAGCTGCAATGCTTGCCAGAGGGACCGCCAGACTGGGGGGGAGTGGAGGGGGGCAGGGCAGGGCAGGCGCTGCGCCCGCTGAGCCCCACGAGCAGACTCGCTTAGCTGCCCCGTTGCAGGCAATGCTCGGGCACTCCAAAGGACCGGTAAAATTAGCAGCACCGCCACGGGCCAATCAGCGGGGGGGGATCTTGCACAGCCGCTCACCAGCCACAGATCTTGACCTCTGTGGACCGGGCAGAGCGAGCCGGCGGCCAATGACACGGGCGACTGGCGCCAGGCGTGTGGAATGGCAGCCCGTGGCTTCATGCCTCCCATGGCTCCCCGACTGGAGCGGTCATCTAGCGTACGCTTTGCTTCAGGGCCCATCCCTAATCCGCTTGTCTTTGCCAGAAGCAGCCTGGACGCTCCTGCCCTCTGCACGCCTACTCGCTGGCGCTGCCCTGCCCCTCGTTGCTTTGGGTATGGCCTGCTCACCAGGTGGCCCGACTCGCGCAGACAGGGGTCGGGCACACCGCGACTGCTGCCAGCCTAGCCTACCACAAAGCGGTCGGGGCGCGCGATCGAGGCGGGGAGCAGAATGGACGGCGGCCGGTAACTTGTCTCTTCTTTTATTTTTCTTAGCGTGGCCTGACTGCTGCAAAACAGCCACCTCATGCTAGAGGCCCAGGCGCCCGTAGGGCAGCATACCCTCGAGGCAGGGGTATGCCATGCCGCCCTGGTGGCTTCGTGCACTCCATCCCGCTGGGGGCCACTTTGGTCCTACAGGCGGCCTCGTGTATAAACCGACTTCGCCCCCGAGGCATCATTCCTCCAGTCCAGGCCTCTGATCAACAGCATCCATTTCTTTGTTGACATCTCTCTCCGACGCCCTGGTTTGCCCTGCTCGACCACTCCCGTTCCCGCTTCAGCACTTGTCCCTCGCTTCTTCAGCCAGCCTCAGGCTCCTCGACGGGACTACGTGCTGTCACTCCCGTAGCCGGAAACAGTACAGGATCGGCAAAAAAGCATCGACGATAGTCACACATCGCCGACCCATACGTCAAGTCGACACATTGATCGACACTCGCTCGACGAGGGTAAGCTTTCCCCTGCCGGTCCCTCTAATTTGCGCTACCAACCAAAACCATGGCGATCCTGATTGCTCGCATTCCGTGCTTATGCTGACCCTATTTGCGCAAATAGGCATCAAGCTGCTCCTCCATCTGTAGCTTTTCCATTTTTCTATTGCCTTGCCTACTGCATCCCCTCCATCATGGTTGACTTTGCCCCATACACGCCTGGCATGGCCCACGACTTTGAGCTCTACTCTCACCCTCACCCTCACTCTCAGGAACAGCACATTGACTACCAACAAAGTCAACCCTTCATGCCTGTCTCAACATTTGGTATGGATCACACCTACACCGCACCACCCTTTGACCAGATGGCTCCACTTGCAGACGCTTCAAGGCTGCAAGACCTCCAGTTCCACTACGACGCCATCGCACAAGGTGTCAAGCCATCATATCAGTACCAGACACCGGCAGGATCCCCCCACTCAATATCAAACTCTTTTCACGAGATGCCCCCTGTCTTGTCAGCCTCATCAGAGTCTGGCGCTTCAGTATCTTCATCTGCCGTGGGCTCCCCATCACTTGTACCCCAATTCACCGAGCCATGGAACCCAATGCCCATGGGCGGACTCACATCTGGTTTTGACTACTCAGGCATGGTAGCAAACGACAAGTCGTATGTGGGTAAGTCACTGGTTTCTTCCATAGCCGCTTCTTCCTTTTCTTCTTCGTCTTTGTCTTCGTCTTCTGTTCCACCTCCAACCCCCAAGCAAAATGTCTTCAAAACACCCGTCACTCCCGCCTCGGCGACACGGTCTACTGTGAGGCCCAATTCTTTTCTTTGTCACGAAGCCTATCTACGCAATTCTCCGTCAGTTCATTCTTCTTCTGTTACATCAGTGCCGCATTTTTCTCAATTCTCTCCATCTTGTTGGTCACCTTCCATTTCAAGACACTCTTAGAGACTAACGTGCTGCAAGCAGATCCTAATCTCATTCAGCCTTTTGCATTCGCTCCTCAGAGCCCTTATCCTGAGATCAGGACCACACCCTCTCCTTACTTCCCAGTCATTGAGCAACCACCATCCCCAGCCCTGTCGCAGTTCTCTTCATATAGTCAGCGACCAGGCTCCGCACGGATCAAGAAGTCCAGCGCTAGCCCATACCTCCACACTCAACAATACCAGCCTTACCCCAAGTACAATGGCCAACGGCGAAGCTCAGTCAATTCTCTCCACTCACAAAACTCTGGCACAAGCCGCAAGAGCTCTAGCAGCTACGATGTAGATGACGAGACACGGGAGAAGGGCATGTGCCCTCTTCCAGAGTGCGGACGCGTTTTCAAAGATCTCAAGGCACACATGCTCACCCACCAAAACGAGAGGCCCGAAAAGTGCCCAATTACCACTTGCGAGTACCATGTCAAGGGCTTCGCAAGGAAGTATGACAAGAACCGACACACTCTCACCCACTACAAGGGCACCATGGTCTGTGGTTTCTGTCCTGGCAGTGGTTCAGCGGCTGAGAAGTCGTTCAACCGCGCCGATGTCTTCAAGAGGCATCTCACATCAGTTCATGGTGTTGAGCAAAACCCTCCCAACAGCCGCAAGAAGAGCTCCGCGAGCCGCAAGTCATTTGGCAGTTCGCAGCCCAGTGTTGCCGGCACATGCTCCACCTGCTCAGTAACATTTGCCAACGCGCAAGAGTTCTACGAGCACTTGGATGACTGCGTGCTACGCGTTGTGCAGCAAACTGATCCCACAGAGGCCATCAACCAGCGTCTCCTCACCTCTGTTGCAGAGGACAAGAACGTCACCGAGACGTTGGACCGAAATGGCCTGTCCAAGAGCATCGAGTACACGATCCCCAAGTATGAGGACGATGATGAGGACGACTTTGAGGAGGAGGAGATCGACAACGACGATCAAGATGATGCTACTTGGGGCAGCCGTCACACCCGCTCAGGCAAGGGCGGCATCAAGTCTACCAAGTCGCATTGACAATCAACACATCCCCGAGGTGTCGGCGCAACGCAGCACGTCGGGGGTGGCAACCACCCAACCCAACACATTTCTTCTGGCCGCGTCACCAAGTCTAGTCCGCGCGCTGGCCTCACCTTCTCCAAAGGTGGTGTGGCCATCACTGGCGCCGGGCGCAAGAAGCGCAAAAACTACCCCGTGTCTTGGGGCTGCGCTACCGACAAGATGAAGATGAAGAAGCGCGTCTTGTGCGTGTATGACGGTCAACGCAGACTGTGGAAAGATGACATGATGCTCGACCAAGAGTTTGAAGTACGCATGAAGCTGCCCGATGGCAAGGCGTATGTCACGGACCTAGATGTGCAGACCCTCAACCGCGCTGAGGCGGTGCATGGTGCCACTGCTGAGGAGAGGGGCGTGTGGGTACCTGACAACATCATCTCGAGCGGTGCTCCACCCATGGAGACGATGCCGCTTGAGTGGACAGTGTAAAAAGACGTGTTGGTACAAACAACACTTGCATGTTTCTTCTCTCTTCGATTGGAGCGTTTTTGAGCGAATCCTTGGCCCGCTTCTTTTTTTTTTAGCGGATACCAAAGGATACAAAGCGAACAAAAAAAGGTTACCTGGCAGGCACCATGGTCGACCCGTACACTGACACGGCTAATGACATGCGATGACGAAACTTTTTTGTTGTACCATCAAAGCATTTGTTTCTGTTTTTGTTTTGTTTTTTCTTGTTAACCGATACCACTGGGCTCTACTTCTTATCTTGCTTTCTTCTTCTTCTTCTTCTTCTTCTTCTTCTTCTTCTCGGGGCTTGTTGGCGTTGACAAGGGAGAGAGGGAGAAGGGATTAATGAGTGGGTACTTGTATATGAACGAAAAGGGCATATCTGTACATGGCTGGCCGCGAGAAGATGTAGTTTTCTCTGAATCCATATATCAATCCACCTATGATAATTTCAAACCACTGTCCAATGCTTGCAAATCGCTACCTCGTGATAAAGCGTGCTGGTCAAACGCAGCAAGGCAAAAGTGAAGGGGTCCGTGCTTAGTCATGGCGCAACGCGCCCCGCCGTGGGGAAGGCAGCAGCGACGGGGGAACAGCTTGGAGCTCCAGCAATCAACTGCCCATCCGCCCGCTTTCCCGACGCCGCAGACACGACACACGCACACAACACGCGACATACCAAACACGACAACCAACACAATGGCGTCGAGTATTGAGCAGTCGCCCTTCTTCCAGCAGCAGAGGGCCAAGGGCGAAATCGTCGTCAAGGGTATGATGTCAACCAATACCCTGTCGTGGGGTATCCAGTGCTAAATGTGTTAGACCCTCCCAAGTTCGACCTGGAGTCGTATATCGCTAACTACACTGGTATGGCTCTTGCACCCTAAATCTAATACTCAACCAGTATTCATGTCTTCCGGTAGGCTACACGCGAATCGATCGCCTCCATCACATTGGTGCCCACTCTCCGTACCTTGCTGTCGATGCATATCGCCTGGCCATTGCCGAAACAAAAAAAGGCAAGAACGTCGCGTTGTATACAAGATTAGTCGAAGATTTCAGCAGCATTGCCCCAAATGACTCTGCTGCCTTGATGGACACAGCTTGGGCGGAGAAGAAGACACGGGAAGTCCGTGAGGAGCATGACAGGCTGGAGCACGAGTTGAAGTCGTACAAGAACAACTTGATCAAGGAAAGCATACGGGTAAGTGGTCAGAGATATCACTCCACCATTCTGGCTCTGAAAATCCACAGATGGGCAATGAGGACCTTGGCCACTTCTACTATGACATTGGCGACTTCTCCAACGCACAGAAGGCATACATGAAGATGCGCGAACATTGCACCTCACCGAAACACCTCGCCGATATGACTCTCCGCCTCGTGTTCGTCAGCATTGCACAAAAGTCCTGGACAAACGTACTGGCAAATCTAGCAAAGTCAGAGGCCACTCAGGTCAAGGGTGAAGAGAAGGCCAAACTAGAGCCCATCATATCTGCATGCAGCGGCTTATGCCACATGGCAATGGGCAACTTTAGGGAGGCTACAACGGCCTTTCTCAGCACTTCGGCAGCATACCTGACTGCTGAGCCCGCAGCATACATCAAGTGGCAGAAGGAGGTTATTTCACCAAACGACGTGGCAGTCTACGGTGGTCTCTGCGCTCTGGCATACATGGATCGCAGCGACCTGCAAAGCAGGGTTCTCGCAAATACTGAATTCCGCAACTTTCTGGAACTCGAACCGCACATCCGCCGCGCCATCAACCTCTTCTGTAACTCCAAGTACAGCGCCTGTCTCGAAGTGCTCGAAGGCTACCGTAACGACTATCTCCTCGACGTGTATCTTTCCAAGATCCTGAATACAATCTACAGCCGCATCCGGAACAAGAGCATTGTGCAATACTTCATTCCTTTCAGCTGTGTCACGCTCGACGAAATGACCTCGAAATTCCCCGCAGCTGAAGGCAGAACCATTGAGGAAGATTTGGAAGAAATGATCAAGAACCGTCAGCTGGATGCACGGATAGATCTTGTTGACCGCTTGCTCATCTGTCCACCAAGAGACCCTCGTCACGAAGTACAAGAAGAGGCGCTCAAGATGGCAGAGTCGTACGACCATACCCTTCGCCTGCGATTGACACGCCTGAACATGTTGGCAGCCGGATTGGAAGTTCAGCCAAACAAGACAAATGAGAAGTCGGCTGCTATGGGCAGTGGTATTGGCGACGCGTTTCGGGGTCTGGGTTCCAAGATGGGCTTCTAGGAAGAGTCGGAATCTAAGAAGGACGACAAGGCCGCGGAAGATAGAGAGTCTAGTGCGAACAAGACCACGCCAAAGGGGACTATGCCAAATTTCACCGAGAGGCTGAAGCGTATGAATAGTCATTAGCATTGCGGGGCGTTATTTTTGGGGGAGTTTCATTGTTACCAGAGGGTAATACAGCATGCGTTTATGCTAGCGAAGCCCAAGCATATTCAAGCGGCATTCTGGCGTTGAGAGGGATGGATGATAGGATGATAAGGTACCTGTTTCAATCTGGTACGGATAAAAGGAATACATAATCATTACTGTCTAGGGAATGAAGGGGGAGAGAGAGAGAGAGAAGTTTGACTGCTTATTTCTTTTATTAAACACACAAATGATGACTAACCGAGAACTTGACAACTCATTTCACCTTGAACATGTTATTAAGAACCCCCGGCCCATTTTATCATACATACTCATGTATCCCATAAACACATACTATCCAAAATTAAATCTCACTTTTTTTTTCCCCGACAACTCCAAAATAACACCCCGCCCCCTTCACTTTTCACATCAAGACGCAGAAATTCAATTTTTTTTTTCGGATGGGGAACCAACAACCAAAAAAACAACGACATGAATAAAATTGACTGGGGTATCTATATATATAAAAAAAGGGTTTCTTCGAACACGCCAAATAGGTTTTCAAATTCATAAATTCTGCTTGCCAACAATAACAAAAAAAATAACCCCCCTCCGTCCCCACCTTCCCCCCTCATGATGAGAAAAAACTAAAAAAAGAAAAAGAATAAGGGATATGGAAAGAGTCGGATAAACTCATCATCGCTTATTCCCCACACGCAACAAGGAAGAAAAAAAAGTCTGAGAAGAGAAAAAAGAAAAGAAAATCCGAAATTTTTCGTTTTTTTGTTTTCATCAAAGGGTTACCATGATATTTTGATCAAGAAAAGAATAAGAAGGGAAGGTGAGAGACCGATGGATATCAGGTCAAATCCCCCCTCCCCTCCCCTCCCGAGTATTGCTTGTCTTTAGCCCCATTGCCCATCATCAGCCTGTGCCTGTTGTTGGTGCTGCTGCTGCTGCTGAGAATCATGAGACTGCTGCTGCTGCTGTTGGTGCTGAGCAGCAGTATTTTGGTTTTGAAAGCCATAGTATGCAGAGGCAGACCATGCGTAGTCGCTTCTCGCAAAAGGATTGTTGTTGGGGTTGAGATTTGCTGCAGCAGAGGCTATTCCTTCGTTTGAAGAAAGCATTTCCTGATTTGTTTGGTTCGAGGATTGCGGCTGGACTTGCGCTGTTTGGACGTTGTTGCTTTGCATTGGTATGCCGCTTTGTGGCATAAGTGCATTCTGGCTGGTCATGACGTTGACGGTATGCCCATTCTGAGGTATTGACCTGTTCAGAGTGCCATAGGGAGAATGATTAGAGTGGTTGGTTGCAAAGTAGTTTTGGGAATTTTGGAGTTGAGAGGACTGAATCTGGTGTGCTTGGAGCTGTTGTTGTGTTGTTGTCATTGTCTGCGATGCTCCGATTTGGTTCTGTTGCTGCTGGCTCTGCAGACGTTGTTGTGGACGTTGCTGTGGAGACTGACTGCCAACCTTGTACAACAACTGCTGCGGTGGGCTGCCAATGCCACGCGATGAGCCTTGGTTGAGCTGTGATAATTGCTGACGATGACTTGGAATGGTTTGTTGGCGTTGTGGGGTTTGCTGCTTCTGCTGTTGGGAAACCTGCGGCATAGTCTGGGACTGTGAGACCTGAGGGCGATGGCGAGGCTGAGGCTGAGGCTGAGGCTGAGGTTGGGGTTGCGGCTGAGGCCGCATCTGCCGTGGCTGCTGCTGAACGTGTGACTGCTGCTGAACATGTGTCTGTTGCTGAGCATGTGGCTGCTGCTGAACATGCGGCTGCTGTGGCTGGACATGGATTTGCTGCGGCTGCGACCGTGGTCGGGCTGCAGTATGTGGTGCTTGCACTGGAGTGGTCGAGGAGCGCCTCTCCGTCTCGAACTCGCGTATCTTTGCTTTGGCTTCTTCCAACTCTCTCTTCAACCTTTCAAGCTCGGATTCGTTATTCGAAGCCTGACCAGAGTGAGACAATTGACGGGAGTGCGATGCTGGCTCAGAAGGACCGGTAGGCGGACGTTGGTCCTCATCGGCCGCGGATTCCGGATAGAAACATTCCCGGTTTTTGTTGATACATGTTTGGCATATTGGCCGTGTGTTGTCGCACTGCAATCATGTTAGTTCCGTAAAGTGCGGGCAATAGGACGTGTGCCAACGTCTTCCGCTCTTTTTCTAGACTTACCTTTGTCTTTTTCGTCTTGCATGCATTACAACTGGTCCGGGGTCGCTTTCTTTGCGGTGTCTGCCCAATCGGAGGTTCAGCATATATTGTGTTTTGTGGGACTGATGGATGCTCTTGTGCTGGCTGAGCAGGGCGAGGAGGGGCAGGTGGGGGCGGTGGAGGTGGAGGTGGAGGTGGTGCAGAAGACGTTGGCACTATCTGGGAAGGTGAGTCTACTTGTATGAGCTCCAAAAGCGATCGAAGACTCTGTGCTCTTAGATCACTTTCAAGTGAAGTGTTAGACAGCCTTGGAGGCTCTGGAAGAGATGGAGTTGGAGGCTTCTTTCTCTTCGTCTTGGGAACGTCCGGATCCTCGCTGCTCAGCTGTCTGGATCGAGTCGTGAGCCTCGCCAATGCCTCTGGATCAT